TTTTTTTCTAATAGATGTTGCTGTATTAACATTAATGCTGTTACAATAAGGTCTTTAGCATACACATCCATTGAACAGTGCTTATCTGAACCCTTGCTTCCAGATGGAAGGGGTCTCATCTGGCCATTTCCTCTGCCACCTAGAGGGCCACACATCTCACCCTTAAGTGATGCGAACTGCAGTCCTTGAGATCTGGAGTCACAATGAGCACCAGCTTTCAGTGCAGCAAAAGCTAAGCTCTGAGATTTCTTATCATCCCCTGAAAGTGCTTTGAATAAGCGTTTAACCATCGCTTCCAGGATCTCCGTTGATTTCTGGGTCCCAGCATTGAAAAGGTTCTTTTTCACAGTATTAATGAAATCCGAATCTGTCATGAGCACTCCTGTAACATTGTGTAAGTTTTTCATGGTGGAATCGATTAAGTCAGATATGACGTCTCTGGTATGTTTGAGAAGGACCTTCTTTAGTACTACACAAGCTGGTGGAGGATGCTTCCCCTTCTGGACTTTCATTGTTTTCATGAAGGAGAACATCATATCTGAAGCAACCTGGTTTGCATACACCATCAGTCCTTTGCTACAAGAACCATCATCTTGTGCTGACTGTTTCCTTTCCAACATTTGTCTGTCTGCTCCCTGATAGCCATTTTGCTTGCTCTGATTAGACATCTCACCGTAAAAGAGTGAGGTCTTTCTGGGGTCATCCTGAGATGGTTTGGGAGACAGCTTGCCATAGTCTTCCCCATTCTTGCCATTAGATCCTTTAATGGACTGACGGATGCATCTTCCACTGCTTTCAAGTTTATCCTTCATTTCTTTGTGTGCCATTTGAACCACTAAGGAACAAAGCTTATTAACGTAATATGAAAGGTCATCTCCTCTCTGGCTGCAAGAGCCTCTGAAAGACGTGTCGCTTCCCTGGGACATCTTTTCAATTACAGGCGATTCGTAAGCTGATTTACGAGGGCCTGAGGGCCTTAGTGCATGCTTGAATCCAATTGCGTATTTCTGAAGATCGTTGCTGAGCCAGCTCACAACGTTAACTTCTTCAGAGGAACCTTGTTTGAAAAGGCAGACCGCTCCTTCGGTATTGCAGTGCCGATTGTTGTCCTTAATTACAATGACTTCTTTTTCTTCAAGGTTGCGTAGGTCAAGGCAAGGGTCAGTGGCACTTTTACGTCTGTCTCTATCCTTTATGTTAAGGTTAGCAACATCAACAAAACAGATAACTTTACGGTCTTGATCCCTTTCTGCTTGAGAGCTGTATAGGTCTACTTTGCAAAGGCCAGATTGACTGTGTAACCAGTCAATCTCATAAGCCATACTATTTAAACGGAACCAGAAGTGAAACCCGGGTCATTGACCGCTCTTCTTTCAGTTTTTGTTGACCCTGACCCTGCCCCACTCAAGATGTTGCCTCCTCTCTTAGCTTTCCATGCTCTTGTGCTGGCTGGTAGCATATTCATTTGTGTGCACAGATTGTTTCTATGACAGCAGTGACATCATAAAGCAGTAATATCATCCAAGAGCCAATCATCTCTTGGTCAGAGTTAACATTTGATTGTTTTGCAGTTCCCATTGCCCAACCTGCACTAAAGTAAAACCAACGGATTAAAACCATCTTCTTAAAGAGATAGGGTTTACGTGAAAGAGTATTCTTTGCTGCTTAAATGAACTGATGTTTTTCAACGCTAACAACAAAACAAATAACATTGATCCAAAAATTGTTTTTTCCCAAATTTTATATTTTATTACATTTCATGAAGCTTGATAATGTTGCTTGATTTGAATGTGGTGGAAAAGTGAATCATAATCCCTTGTAATGTAGGGTCTTTGACATCTGCCCTTACCACAAAAAAGGAAAGTTTACTTTGTCCATTAAGCCTTAAATCTTTTTTCTGAATCACTTTCCATTATGGTATTACAGTCTTCATTTTTCTTATTGCTTTTGTATGATTCGCATTTGCAGTTTCTTCATATCATCTTGGCTTGCTTTTATATATTATATACCCGAAAATAAATGGTACGTGAAATGAATGAGAATAGAGACTAAGATGGACAAGGTTCTTAAAAAAAGAAGACATAAAGAATATAATAATAAAACATGACAGTATCATAATAAATCATAAGAATAACAGCCATTATTGTTACACAGAATGAGTGAAAATAAAAAGACAACTACAGGTGTTAATAAGAGGGACCAATCATCAAAGAAGGCCATTTGGATTTGTAAAAACGGTGTTAATAAAAAAGTGAAAACTTGGTATCAGTTGAGGTATCCAAAGTGCTCCAAACAGCAATTGGTTTCTTCAATTGTGATGCAGTGGTGGCTGTGAGTCAGCATGAATTTGTCATAAACTCATTTCATTTTTTGATCCAGTAAAAACTGGAAGGTGCCAAATAGAATATATTTTGACATAGGCTATGTAATAATTTTATTATAATCTGATTAGCAATTAGTTAAATAGGGTCTGGATATGATGTCTAGTCACTGGATTAGACATTTGAAAAATGGTACTCAAAGTTTTTATTTATGATTTCTCTTCAAACTGAAGTTCAGTATCAAATGGAAGCAATATAGTTGGACTGTGGGGCCAATATTCCTCATTTTAATTAATGATTTGAACAAAAAGATTAAAAAAAATAGCTTATCATATTTGTAAATGATTCAAAAGTGGATGAGATCACTAATATTCCAGAAGAGAGAACAAAGTTGATACAGTATAGAGTAGCCAGGAATTTAAATGCAAAGGAACTGGATATATTTAGCCTTAAGAAAAGATTACAGTGGGACAACTTTTTCAAATATGGAGGTCAAGACCATATAATATTAAATTAGAAGAAAGCAAATCTAAGTTGAAAAACTTCCTAACAACAGAAGTTCAACACTGGCAAGAGTAACCATCCCCTCCCCATCCCAAACATGTGGTAACCTTCACTGCTTGTATTCAAGTAAGTCTAATTAGTCATCTATCAGGCATACTTTAATTATACTGCTCCATAGAAAGTTGCACTACATAATAGATTATAGCTACTCCCCAAAATAAAGAGTCAGACCTGTTCAGTGTTTGGGTAGGGAAAAAAATCCAGAAATCCCAAGGCCATAAAATTAGACAATGTCCCAGGAAAAGGCACTGGCAGATTTATCTCCATATCATTAAAAAACAAAAACAAACCCTAGCTGTAATCTCAATGTGGAAGAATCTTACATTTTTCCTGAATGGGAATTGCTGTCTGAAGTTTTTAAATAATAAATTATAATTAAATAAATGAATAAATGAGATTTTGACCTAAACCAAATTACTTTCAGGAACATGTCTACACAGGTCTGCATTAGATAACATACAGCCAATGGCACCAAGGCAACAATCACTTCAAAATACAAATCTGAAAGGCAGAAAAGAGCTTAAAATAAGTTTAATGTTTAAAAATGATGAAAATAGTTTCCTGAGTCCTTTATTTATAATTATATATAATTATAGCGAAAACACTGAAACTGTACTAAGGTCTTTTGAGATAACTATAAACTTAGGAGATTTTGACAAATGTGGAGAGAGATGCGTGGCGCCAATGAAGTGACCATACAGTGCTTAGGTCAACTTTGCAACTTGATCTATTAACACTGAGAAAGTCTTGAGGAAAACAACTGGGAGTTTTCTTCTTAAAAAACAAACAAACCTCTTGTAAACATGACACAGAAAACTACCAAGTGGGGAATATGTGAAAGTTTCCATGACACAATATTTTGATTTGGAAGTTATCCAATCTCAAAACAAGCCTATTCTGAGATTGCCCAGTTTATGGACCACTTCAAACTGCCTGCTTGGAACAGTTTATGATGGAACTTTTGTTCTTGCTAACCTTAGCTCTTCCAGTGATCCAAGAAGTTCCCAAACGACAGGCAGTCCTCGACTTACAACAGCTCATTTAATGACCGTTCAAAGTTACAACAGCACTGAAAAAAGTGACGTATGACCATTTTTCACAGATACGACCATCGCAGCATCCACCCCCATGGTCACGAGATTTACATGCAGATGCTTGAGAACTGGTTCATATTTATGACAGTTGCCGTGTTCCAGGATAACGTGATCATCATTTGCAACTTTCTGACAAGCAAAGTCATTGGGGAAGCCAGATTCACTTAACAACTGTGTTGCTAAATTAACAACCGCAGTGATTCACTGAACAACTGTGGCAGGAAAAGTCGTAAAATGGAGAAAAACTCACTTAACAAATTTCTCACTTGGCAACCTACATTCTGGGCTCAATTGTGGTCATAACTCGAGGATTACTTGTATTTGAAATCCATTCCTCATTGCTAATGCAAGGCTTCTCAGTTTACTTTAGGCTATGTTCTTTTTCTCAACTAAGACAATGCTTTTTGTTATTTTCAACAATTGGCATATCACTGACATGGTGCATATTACCTTCTTGTTATTGTCAAACTTGATCCTGGTTTGTTTTTCTGTCATGTATTGAAAATAGCCAAATTACTTCAATATTAGAAAATATATATTTTTTAATCTAGAGGGGTATGTGTGTATGTATTTAAATGATTTATATTCATCTCACAACAGCAACTCTGGGCAGCATACGGACATTAAACCCATCTAACAATATGTTCTCCATGATGCCCTGCTTAAACAAGTAGCCCTCAAAATGAAAACAGAAAAAAAAATCCCACATCATAACAAAACTCATTTACTAGCCTAAATGACCGCCAGGACTTAAGACTTATGACAAGTAGTGTATATTGGGGGTGGTGACCCTTTTGAGAGCTGTATTGCAATGAAATTTCATTTTAATGTATGCTGATTAATATACATTCAAAGTTACAATGATGTTATTCTAAAAGTTAACAGAATCAAAGCCAATCAAAAATCTGTGGGTGGGATTGTTGTTCCTCAGAGCAGGCACAGCCCCAGAGAATGCATGTATCGACACGAAAAGATACCTTTAAAAATATTTATTCCCCCCCCCCCCTCTTCTTTTTTTTAGGTCCAGAATTTGACTTTGCGGAGTCAGAAACTGGGTGTATTGTCTACTTCTCAAAATGGAACGCCCAAAAGTTCTAGTCAACCCCAGACATTAGCTGTGTGTCCTAGCAAATCTGTAACCGGTGCCAAAGCCAGCCAATCAGATCTAGAAAGCAAAAGGAAAGGAGACAGCCCAAATGCTGAGCCTCGAAGTCCAGCTGTTACCCGTACGTCAAGTATTCATCAGTTAATGGCACCAGGTAGGACAGTCCAATTACATTTTTAAGGATGTTGTTTTATAACTAACTCTTTTATTTAAATATTTGTCCATTTGTTGCCACCTCAGTCACCAAGTACCAAAACCACTTGGTTTGTAGGCATTATTATGTCAGTTAGTTTGTATCCAATAATATCTCGGCTAGGCTACAAAATCTGAATCTCTACGAAACTAAAGGATGCTCTTCATTGGTGGGAACTCATTTCATGTGAAGCCCTTGGATTAAGGGAACTGCTTTCTTTTCTCTGCCTCTCCTGTCTCTCAGATATTGTTATTGACTAGATAGCTATAATATTAGGAGCATTGATCAGATTTTTTTCAAAGAAGAAACCCGATGTACCTGAATTATTAAATATGGGAAATCAGCATTTACAATATTTTAATTTGTTAAAGAAAGCTCAGAGAGAAAAGAAATCCCAAAGGTGCTTTCTTCAAGAGGCAACTAGACTTTCTTGTTTATTCTTTGAAGACGTTCCACTTGTCATCCAAGAAGCTTTTTCAGCTCTGACAGGACAGTGGGGAATGGAAGGATTTATATTCCTTGCAGGCAGTTGGTCATTTGCATCCTTTTAGAGGGTGACCAGCTGTCTGCAAGGAATAAAAATCCTTCCATTCCCCACTGTCCTTTCAGAGCTGAAGAAGCTTCTTGGATGAGAAAGAAAAGAAAGCAAACCCAGTTGCCTCCTGAAAAAGCACCTTTGGGATAACCATGACCTGGATGATGAGAATCTCTACAGACTTAAAGAAAAGAAATGAATCCCCTGTGTATAAACATTTGAAAAGGTTTTGCCACTTAACAGATCCAGCTGAATTGATTAGAAGAAATTTAGTACCTCAGTACAGAATTCAGTAATTAGTAGGCATCAAATGTTAAGATTCAAAGTTCTAGCTGAAAATTGTCCTTGAATTACTTGTAGAGATTAAGCAGCATAAATAACCCAGTACATATATTTTCCTTGCACTACAAGAAAAATCATAGTCATTGCTTTCTTTTATTGTTTAATAAAATAAAGATAAAGTGGGATTTATTTAGTTCTTGCTGTTAAAATTCAAAGCCAGACATCTATTATAAGTCACTTAAGAGACAAGATTTTTTTCTTTCTTTTAATGTGTTTTTTTAAGAAATTTAGTTGCATAAATCCTTAGATAAATCTGCTCATGTTAAATATTTCTAAAATTATTTTTTTAAAAACCAGTCAAATCAAAACATCTTAGGGATTAATTTATACAAACTTAAGTTTCATTATACATGATCACAGTTGTCTTTCTCTTAAGGCTTTGTCAAATTCAAGTATATTAAATATAATGGGTGTTAAACAGCAAACAGTAGCTACTTAAATATTGGTATTTATCTGAAAATAAGCATATTTTAATGGCTTTCTGTGTTCTTAAAGAAATATTAATTATAAATCTTCCCATTTTTATTGTGTAGCCTCATATTCTTCAATGCAACCTCATTCCCTGTTAAAACATCAGCACCCTTCTCTTCACTCGCCACCTTGCAAGCTCTCTCACCATCAGTTAATCTTTCAGCAGCAGCAAGTCCAACCAATCACACTCCAACTGCCTCCCAGCCACGAAGCCCCTCCATCCCAGCACTGTGCTTCCCTTCAGAGCCATCCTCTGACTCCAGATCCCACCATTACCCCATCCCAGCACTGTACTCCTGTCCATGTCCACCCTCCTCCACTTTCTCCAACCCCATCCCCATCCCCACAACAATCCGTTGTAGTATCCCCACCGCCAGCTACTTCGCCCAGCCAATCCCCCAGTATAATTATCCACCCCCAGGCTCTTATTCAGTCCCATCCACTAACATCGTCGGCGCTTCAGTCCGAACATAACTCAGTGCAAGCTGACGACAGTTCAACACAATCAACCTCACAGTCTGCCGCTCATCCTCCCCAGTTGTCCCCTTCCCCAGTAGTCCATGTGGGTCCAGCAGATCACCCTTCCATGCTGTCCCCCAGCCAACAGATGTCATCGCCATCATCTCATCAACCGTACCCAACTTTGCAGCCAGCACCAGTTCCGCTTGCAACCACTCCACAGCTGTCATCAACTCCAGCCCACCCTCAACAGATGACCCATCCTCCTGTTTCGTCTTTGCAAGTCCAGCCTGAACTTTTGTCCCAAGATCAGGTTTTGGTACAAAATACTTTAGTTTCTGAAGAGGAGCTTCCCGCTGCTGAAGCTTTGGTCCAGCTGCCACTTCAGACTCTCCCGCCTCCCCAAACAGTTGCAGTAAACCTCCAAGTGCAACAAGCAGTACCTATTGAAACCCCAGTGGTAAGCCTCTGGTGAATGACTTTCTTTCTAGTTTTAAAATTATGTGAAAGATGGACAAGTGAAAGCTTCCTGAAATATTTTATTGGCATTAGGTTCCTGCTGAGGAAGCAGAATTTTGAAGCAATGTGAGCACTGTTGTAATAGAGACTATGCTGAGCTGTAGAAAGCAGACCTAGATAGAGTATTTTGTACAGGAGAAGCCATTCCAAATCCACTCCTCAGAGCATTAAAATGACTGTGTCCTTCAGAAAGTTCATCATAATTGTTTGAGCTGTGCTGAGCCTTCTGAAGAGAGTAGCTATTTTAATGCTTGAAAAAAGAAAGGTTTGCTTGCCCCAGTGTGCTTGGCAATGTTTCCTTACTAATGCTTTGCAAAGCTCTAATAAAACCTAGTAAGGACTTACTTGTTTGAGAGGTAATTGATGACATCATAATTTATTTTGTCTTTTTATGGTTTCCTTCCTAAAATGTCAATGGATGATTCCCAATTTTAAATGTAACATACTGTAGTTTTATAAGTTTTAGGCATTTTCTCTTTACAGAAAGATGCGTTTATATTCAGTATTCATAGTTTTTCTTGACTGTTACATTTCTATCCACTGAGTTACTGAGTTCTGTGGATGGTTCTCACATTAAAAAATGCAGGAATAATAAAAACATAGCAATGTCTGAGTTAAATTTTTAAAACCCACAAACTAAAGCAAAGTAATTCATGAGCAACAGCGTTTGGCAAGCATGAGGGTAAAATAACATTCAAGGTGGATGGAAAGAATCAAAGAAATTGCAGAATTATCCTTAGCTAAAATTATATCCACAGAAAAGTCAAGATGGTGGGCATTTTATCTATGCCATCACCAGAAGTCAAGTCTAATTCAGTGCTTCCTAAATTATCAGAATGTAAGATCAGAAGTCAACAATAACACAAACATCTCAAAACCACAAATACAACTGTAGAATTTATATTCTCAGTGTAAACACACAAATTATCAAAGCCCTCCTTCAGTGAGGTTGCTTTTATTGGTTTTTGATCCTACTCCTAATTACTTTGAGGAATTATCTCTCTCTTGACAACTATTCACTTGCATCTAATTTTCAGAGACATGATAGATTACCTCTTTTTCTGATATTTTACAGCTTAACGTTTCTTGGTTTAAACTAGTAGCTTACTTGATGCTATTTGTCTAAAGAAGGGATCCTCAAACTTAGCAACTTTAAGACATGTGGATTTCAGCTCCCAGAATTCCTCAGCCAGCTATGCTATTTTCTAGCAGTCCCAACAATTTGCAGCATAGTTGATTTTTCTAAGAATATGACTGCATGACACAAGCGAAATAAAACAGTCTTACCTTGGTAATTTTAGCTTCCAGTTCTTCCAGTAATTTTAGCTTCTGGTTTGAGCAGATCAAAAAGTCATTCTTTTTGGTATTTCTAAAGACATAATCCAAAGTCATGTAATCTTCTTTTAATTGTCCAACTTTCACAATGGTAGGTAGTTAAAGAAAAAGCAATAACATTTAATATTTTGCAAATATTGTTAAGATGAATGTCCTTACTTTTCCAAATCTTTTCCATGCCAGTCATTGTAGTGCACTCTCATGATACACTGGAAAATAAAAAAAATTCTTAGTTGTCAATTTTATCTTGAAGTCAGCTGTTGTCATTAATCTTGATGTTCAGATTTAATCCAGCCTTTTCCCATTCTGCCTTGAATTTTAGGATACATTGTTTTACTACATATTGTCTTCATTTTCTGCCAGGAGAATAAAGTTGTTGTCTATATATCTTAGACTGTTAGTGTTTTTTTTATTTTATTTCAATATCTAATTTGATTAAGTTAAAGCTCCTTAGAATTGCCTGTATTCATAAATTGAACCAAAGTGGCAATAATATACATCAGTGATACCTGCCTTTTTCCATCTCCATAAATTGCTCCCAAATTGGCTTCTTGCTGTGCAATTGTTGTGATTTTGTTAAACGAATCTAGCATTCTGGAACATCCTATTCTGTCAGGTACTTTCATAATTATTTGGGTTCAAATCAGGTGAGAGCTTTTTTATAGCTGGTGAAGAATAAATACACTTATGTTTTAAATGTATTTTGATCACTATAAAGATTTTTTTCTTCTACATCTTTTTGAAAATTTCATGCTTGCTCCATGATTTGCAGCATATGCTTCTTCATCTTCTCAACCAGGTTCTCAGAATAATTCTACTTAAAGTAGATAATTTTAAAACGCAATGTTAGATTTCTGATTAATTCGTTTATCCCAAGAAACAAGTTTAGACAAGACAGGCTTACAGCAAAAACATCTTCTTAATTAATTTCTTCTTTTTCTGTAATAATTTGATTCAGCCTGCTATCTAATTTGTTTTTAAGATTTTGCCTTTAAAAATTAACGTTTCTTGAGAATCGATTTTACTAGTAAATTGACAGTAGTTGCATTTACATTTTAATAATTTTTCAAATTGTTTCCTGGAAAGCTAACAAAATTAACAAAATACAAAGCTTGACTCTAACGTGGGTTGATTTGTTCAATGCAGCTTTATCAGGAGGAAGATATCTGTGAAGATGAGATGCCTGAGGACTCAGATGGTGTTCGTATGGCTAGGACTCCCACCCCACCAACACTGTCACCACCAGCTATCACTTTAAGAAGCAGAGAAGAGCTTACTTATGACGATGCTTTTCCAGGTGAGAAAAAGAACACATTGTGATATTATAACTGAGCCCAGTTTCTGGTTCTCATTTCTTGTTTCATGTAAGTCCCAAAGTTGTTTTTTTCAAGAAGCAACTGGACTTTTCTTTTAAGGTCACCTGGGGGTTTATCTGTGTCATCAGGGTCACCTGAGTGGTGCAAATTGTTGTGGAGCCTTCTTGGAACTGTTGAAAGGACTATATTGTAGATTGGAGGTAGATGATGTTATATCATTCCCCCTCTGTTGAGAGAGGGCTGTTCAATTTTGACATAGATGGCCTCTTTAACACAGTCCTTTCAACAGTTCCAAGAAGCTCCACACCAATTTGCACCACTTAGGTGACCACCCTGATGATACAGATATACCTCCAGATGACCTTAACAACCCGCTAAAAGAATGCAAATGACCAGCTGTCTGCAAGAGTATAAATCCTTACATTCCCCACCATGCAGTCAGAGCTGAAGAAGCTTCTTGGATGAGAAGCAAAATGTCTTTAAAGAAAAACCAAAAAGTCCAGGTGACTTAAAAAAAAAAAAAAAAAAAAGCACCGTTGGGACAACCGTGAACCTGGATGACTGAGAATCTCCATAGATATATCACCTTTGAGGCTAAGGGCTGTGAAGTAAGATCAAGGGAATGTCTCTGATGCAATTATCCTGAATAACTGGACTCTATCTTGGCTTTAGCAAATTGTGAAGGCATTTTGAAAGTCAGGCTTGTTGCTTTGTTGTTGTAAATTAAAAGCAAGAACGTAGAGTTTCCTGGATTGGATTGCCTTGTCTTAAGAACATAAAGTCACCCTTGGTGAGGAGTGGAGAGTGGAGAGGAGAGGAGAGTGGAGTAGTGTGAAGTAGAGTAGAGTAGAAGAGAGTAGAGAAGAGTAGAGATGGAAGGGGCCTTGGAGGTCTTCTAGGCAGGAAACCCTACATCACTTCAGCAAATGGTTATCCAACATCTTTTTAAAAACTTCAAATGTTGGAGCATTCACAACTTCTGGAGGCAAGTTGTTCCACTGATTAATTGTTCTAACTGTCAGGAAATGTCTCCTTAGTTATAGGTTGCTTCTCTCCTTGATTAGTTTCCACCCGTTGCTTCTTTTCCTGCCCTCTGGTGCTTTGGAGAGTAGCTTGACTCCCTCTTCTTTGTGGCAGCCCCTGAGGCATTGGAACAGAAGAGAAGGAATGTCATCAACTGATCCGTCTTGATCTTGACACCTCAGGCTTAGGGTTTAAAATAAACCTTCTCTTCTTTGCACTTGTAGCTTTGCAGCTCAAAAATACTGGAGGCAATGGACAGAGCTAGCTGCATTATGTGAACAAGTATATGGGGGCTACAAAGCTGGCAAGGAATCCCAACATCCATATAATCTGGTGAAAAAAATAGTAAGAGGCAAGCCTGACAGAAAAGATAACATAAAGCCCCCTGTAACTGATAGTAGGGTGTTGCTGAGCTGCAGGAATTAGAGAAAATAATGAGAATATATATATCTGGTGAAAGGGAACCATTAGGAAACTAAAACCTCAAAACTTTCTAGAGCTACAAAGCTCTGATCATCTGCAAGCCAGGTGTTGGTAATTGGTAAAATATATGTGTCTATATTGTGTTCCTCATTGCATGCTAAATTCCCACAATGAACATTGCATTTCAACCCCCCATTTTAGTCCACTGATTCATTTGGTTAGTTAAGTAATCTTCCATTGTTGCATTTATTGGCACAGGGCAATTATATAACATTAAAATTAAAGCAGGATTCAGACAAATTAGAACAGCATCAGAGAAAGGCAGGCTAACCAGAGAACTAGAAATGAAGTCCTATGAAAAGAGAAAGAGAAAAGGGACTGGGAATGGACAGCTTTGAGAAGAGAAGACTAAAAGAGAACACAGTGGATCTTTTCATATACCTGAAAAGATATCAGAGGGCCCCCTGGCTTGGTTGTTTTCTTGAAGACGTTTCATTACCCAAAGTAGGTAACATTCAGACAGAAGCACTCATGATGTTACCTAGTTGGGTAATGAAACGTCTTCAAGAAAACAACCAAGCTCAGAGAGCACCAAGACCCCTCGTTTCAATCCTGATCTACAAATATTCTCCTTTATTGAGAGAGAGAGAGAGGAAAGAAAGGCAAGAGCTGTTATTTTAGAATGCAACACAAGGAATGATTGAGTTACAGGGAGGAGAAAAGCTAACAGCCATGCAGGTTAACAGAGCATAGTTGAGCCCCCAAACTGTTTCACTTAAGTTGTCTGCACACCTCAGAAGAGCAGTAGATAAGAGTACACAGCTGGGAATTACTGATTGAGTTATTGTGCGTTTTCATAAAAGCAAGGAGGAATGGATGCTTTCAGAGATAGAACATTGGAGTAACTCAGTGGTGGTGGGAAACTTTATTGTCCACATGGGCTGCATGCAGGGCTTTGGTGGTAGGCTGGACAACGTCAAGAATACATTCATAAGGGGAGCCTTGATGTAGCTGAGATTACTAAAAGGAAAGGGATAAAGCCATCCTGCTCTTTATTCACTGGGCTTTCCCTTACTAGCTTTTCAATCTTCAAGCCACTGATGATTTTCTGATTTGTTGAAGACCTCTTTTGCAAAGTCCAACAACCATGGAGTTCTTTTAGTCTAAAATCAGAGCCTTGGATACTCTAAACTCTGTAACAGAGAATGCTTTAGGTTCATCAGGACTTGCAAGTCAAAGAAGTCTAATTTAAGTGTTGGGTCTTGCAAAAGTAGAGCCTTCCAGAAATCTAGGGGTATCTGCAAATGGGTAAATAAATCTGCTGGAGCAGGTAAATGAAAAGGAATCGGGAGATACAATCAACCTCATGAGGGCAGCAAAGCCCCAATAGAACCATAGTCTGCCTGCTCCAGAAGAAGTTAATGGGTGGAAATTCTATATGTTCTGTGAAGCATTCATATGGTCCCTAGACCTGCTTCCTTTTCCAAAATTAACATGTCAGTTGATGCAATAAATATCGGAAGAGACTTCTGTAATAGCCACATTATGAACAAAAGTGATGCTTTCTATAATTATGAAGATATTTGAGTTATTTTAAAATACATACATTACTTTTTTTCCAGAACAAGAGGGACATTCTTCAATGGCCTCATCAGTCAGCGCATCTGTAATTAAATCACCATCAGACCCTTCACATGCCTCTATTCCACAGCCACCTATTTTGCTCCCAGCAATTGCAACAAGGACTAACAGCGCATCAGTGTCCAATAGAAACCCTAGTATAGAAAGCAAACTTCCACAGGCTATCGTTAAACCACAAATCCTGACTCATGTTATTGAGGGCTTTGTGATCCAAGAGGGTTTAGAACCATTTCCTGTAAGTGTAAAAAATACATCATTGCACCTTGTATGTGTGATATTTTCCTTTTAAAAGGCAATGTGTTGTGGTTATTTGGGGCTTCTGTTTGTTTAATCTCTGTTAATAATTTAGACTAATTGTCTTGTTAGTAACCAAATTTTGTAATGTAAGACTTAACACATGAGTGGTTGGGTAACCCATAAATGAAGAAAATATGTGAGGTCATAAAATACACACATTTATAGAGAAACTGCTTCTCCTTTTGGCTCATGTTGAGTGTTATCAAGAGCTTAAAAGCAAAATGACCGAATCTCCTTTCCTCAACATCGCCAGCATTCTCACCAGAGTCACTTCTGGTGAACTGTGTAGCTAAATATATTTGATAAATAAAATTCTGATAGACTCGTAAGTGTTAGTAATGACTGTATTTACTCCTTATAAATTTCTGTAAACCATGTTGACTCTGGGAAGAAACAAGCATAACCTAAACATAAATGTCAGGCATTGGCCCATCAATAATTTTGGATTGGCGATTTTAAAAAACAAAACAATGTACGGTATCTTACTGTTTCAAAGTTACATTTAAACTATATTTAAAACTGATTTGTTTTTAGTTATTTTTGTTTTGAGATTTTTTTAAATAGTTGTGCTGGGTGCAGGGATTCAAGAGAGACAAGGTCCATAGCCGAGGAATAATCAGCATGTGGTTGAGAAGTGTGATTCCTCGTGTTGATTTTGGCTTGTCCTTCCCATTGTCTTTTTGAGTGAAAACCAGTTCTTTCCCAGGGTAGGTTGCTTCTCAAAGAAGATAAACCACTAGGGTAGAAGTAGCGTGACATTTTCCATTGGACAGGAAGCATGGACTCTTCTGCTTTTTTGTTGAAGACAGCTTTCAAATGCAACTAAGGCTCAATGCTTTTCTGTTTCATAACCTCAATTATTTTTACTGCTTTATTATTAAATGTACTGTTAAATTTAAATGTACTGTTAGCACTCAGTGCAGCTTGCAAAATTGCTCATAAGAGCAATTTTCCAAAGGCAAATGGGAAATACCAGTACAAACACAAACACACACACACAAACACCCAGAGAGTAAATATAAATGTGTGTTTTCAACTTATGGCCCTTCATCCTAAAGTTTGTTACTGTCTTTCATAACAAAAAAAGTTATATTTCTCAGTCTGTTTTCCTGTGCATGTCAAGGTGGAAAGAGACAGCAGAATATAATCAATTTCCTATGAAAAGAATAGAACGGTAGCTCAGAATGTGTTGAGAAGATAACATTTGTGTTTTTCTGTGGTATCTCATTACAAAGCCACAAATGGAAGATTCAAACAAAGATTATTTCATATTAAAAACTGATATTTCCTCTCCATATCTCCATATTTCATTTCACATTTTTTTCCATATGTTGGTTCACCCATAGCCTCTGGACCCCCAAATGGCTACACTAGTCCCTGTCTTTGAAGTTGATGGAAATCTCTAATCTATGGCTCTGTATGTCCTTGTAGCAGTAACTAGGCTACAAGATTAGCAAAGCTGTGAAATCTTCAGTCACTTGACATGAGAAACCAAACTTTTTTTGTTGTTGTTAATGATTTCATCTTTCTCTCTTAACAGGTAAGTTGTTCATCTCTTCTGACTGACCAGCCTGCAAAAAAGAGACTCTTGTTGGAGGAGCAAGTTGTGAACGTTATGTGTGTTGAACCAGAGCTTCAGAACAATGCCAAACATGCAGACAACTCCTCAGACACAGAGATGGAGGACATAATTACTGAAGGTTTTTGTATTGGATTTAATCTGTATGAATGCTTAGTCCTCTATTTTTCCAGGAGCTTTAAGTGTCATCCTGAATTGCCTTTCCTACCTTTGGGATACCAGATTCTTAACAGAATTTGTTGCAAGGAAGTTACAAATCAACCGTGAGGTGTCAGTGCTGAAACTTAAAGGGAACATCCTATATCTGGCTTTAGGTTTTCATGTTAAATGAACTTAAGGGCTCTGGAAGATGTATAGAGGTAGTCCTCAACTTACAACAGCTCATTTAGTGACTGTTCAAAGTTACAACGACACTAAAAAAAAGTATTTTATGACCATTTTTCATACTTATTATCGTTGTAGCATTCCCGTGGTCACGTGGATGCTTGACAACTGGCTGTTTTTATGACAGTTCCATTGTAGTGGTGTTATGTGATCCTCTTTTGCGACCTTCTGACAGGCAAAGTCAGTGGGAATCCAGATTCACATAACAACCATATTAATCATTTTAATAACTGCAGTGATTCACTTAACAACTGTGGAAAGAAAAGTCGTAAAATGGGGGGGGGGGGCAAAATTCACTGAACAGGTTTCTCACTTAGCAACATAAATCCTGGGCTCAATCGTGGCCATAAGTCGAGGACTAAGCTGTATTCCCATCTGCATCAGAAGCACTGTTGTCACGAAACGGGAATAAACATTGCATTGGTTGCATGAATGAGTCACTTGAATCCATCTTTAAATTCCTGCTGGTAGTAATCTGGTGCAGGGGTCTCCAACCTTGGCAAGTTTAAGCCTGGCGGACTTCAATTCCCAGAATTCCCCAGCCAGCTTTGAAGTCTGCCAGGCTTAGCTTTGCTGGCTGGGGAATTCTGAGAGTTGAAGTCAGCCAGGCTTAAACTTGCCAAGGTTGGAGACCCCTGATCTGGTGAACGCTTCAGCTCATCTAAGCTGTATTGAATATTAACAGAATGTTAATATTACAGTGGTTTGCAACCTGCACCGCCCAGAATAAGGTAGAAAATTCAAATGTCTATAGGTTAAAATGTACCTTGTTATTATCACCAGAAAATATCCTTTCAGGGCATACCGGTAGTCCTCAGCCTACAACGACAATTGAGCTCCATATTTCTGTTGTTAATTGAGTCATTTGTTAAGTGAGTTTTGCCTAAATTTTAGGACCTTTCTTGCCACAGTTGTTAAGTGAATCACTGCTGATGTTTAGTTAACAACATGGTTGTTAAATGAAACTGGCTTCCCCATTGACTTTGTCAGAAGGTCGCAAAAGGGGATTGCATGGCACTGCAATCGTCATAAATATGAGCCAGTTGCCAAGCATCTGAATTTTGATTATGTGACCATGAGGATGCTGCAACGGTCGTACGTGTAAAAAACAGTCATCGGTCACTTTTTTCCAGGGCTGTTGTAACTTCGAACCGTCACTAAATGAACCCTTGTAAGTTGAGGACTACCTGTAATTCTGTGAGTTAAAGGTTTTGAATATTTTCAATGTTAAAGTTGCATGTGAGATGTAATATAAATTTGCCCCCACTGTGTTATTACTACATATTGGAGGCTTTTTTCCTCGTTAAATAAAAGGCAGAGGTTTGATTGACATATGACTGAGCAGTATAAGTGATGGAAACTGATATTAGATATTGTTTAAGGACTTTTTAAAAAAAGATACGAATTTACTAGGAAATACCATATCTCTTTCATTAAATGTATTATTAATTTGGAGGACAAGCCATGTTTTTATCAATCTTATTTTTAATTTTAATGAGCCTTGCTCTCGGGAAGCATAACAGATAACAGATAATCAGAGTTGGAAGGGACCTTATAAGTCATCGTCCAACCCCCCACCCAAGCGGGAGACCCTACACCATTTCTGACAAATGGCAGTCCAATCTCTTCTTGAAAGTCTCAAGTGATGGTGCTCCCACAACTTCCGAGGGCAAGCTGTTCCATTGGTTGATTGTTCTCACTGTCAGAAAGTTTCTCCTTGTTTCCAGATTAAATCTCTCCTTGTTCAGTTTCCATCCATTATTCCTTGTCTGGCCTACAGGCGCTTTAGAAAATAGCTTGTCCTCTTCCTCTCTGTGGCAGCCCCTGAAATAGTGGAAGACCGCTATCATGTCTCCCCTGGTCCTTCTCTTCACTAGACTAGCCATGCCCAGTTCCTGTAACCGTTCTTCATATGTTTTAGCGTATTCTAGTTTTAGCATATGCAGGACTGTAGTTTTGAATGCTGACATTTGTAAACCTGGATACGTAGGGACTCTTTTATTATTGCTAAAGTATGTATGGTTTTACAGGATCAAAAGACATACAGTTCCAAGCTAAAATGCATAGAACAACACAGTGTGCCTGTTTTTCTGTAGTAGACACTAGAGAGTAAAATCAAATAACATATACCATGGTGGCACAGTGGTTAGAATGCAGTACTACGGGCTACTTCTGCTAACTGCCTGTTGCAGCAGTTCAGCAGTTCAAGTCTCAGTGGCTCAAGATTGACTCAGCCTTCCATCCTTCCGAGGTCGATAAAATGAGGAACCAGTTTGTTGGGGACAATATGCTGACTTTGTAAACTGCTTAGAGGGGGTTGTGCAGCACTGTGAAGCAGTATATAAGTCTAAGTACTATGGCTATATATGTGGATGGTCTTGGTATTAAAAACTCAGATTTTCAGTTTAAAAGAAAGTCCTTACTGAACAATGTCAGTTGTCAGGGGTTGCCATCATTAAATGAGTACTGCACAGGTTGTTGAATTGAGGATGTCATGTGACCATGACTTCTGTTTCCTCCATTGATTTTACTTGTGAGAAGCTGGAAAGGAAGGTCTCAAATCATGATCATGGGATTGTTGCATTAGCTGGAACTTAGAGAAGCAGTTGTCAGTACCCCTTGTTCAATGGCACTGCAAGTTCCAACAGTTGTTAGAGTGTCATTAATTAAGTAACATATATCATTAACAAAATATTAAGTACTTAGTAACACCTGTGTTTCCATGGTAAACAATTGACGTTTTAAGAAGATGGAACTAGGCAGACTGGACATATCGTTCGATTGAGCAAAAACATCTTCAATTTCTAATTTTAATTGTGAATATATTCACAATTAATGAGGTTAATTGTAATAATATATGTGGTTCCTAGGGTGAGGTGGTCCACAATGGATAGATTTTTTTAAATTTGATCTTAATCTGGCAGAACTAATGCTGTATTCTTGATTTACTTCATTTTTTTCTTCGTTTAAAAAAAAATCATGTTTTTAAATCAGTGAAGGTTCAATCATGAGGAAAGGCCTTCTTCATGACCACTAGCTTTTCTGAGTCACTCCCAAACACCAGATCATTCCCCAAGACATGAGAGTTTCAAACACTTCTGTTACAATGGAATGGTTCAAACTAACTGAATTTATTCTGCTATTTCCTTTAGAGGGGCTGGATGAGATGGAGACAGATCTCCTCAAGTGTGAATTTTGTGGGAAAATGGGGTACGCAAACAAGTTCCTGAGGTCGAAAAGGTTCTGCACCATGTCCTGCGCTAAGAGGTATTCTTCATTAGTTATCATTTGAGAGATTGTAAAAGCCATGAATACAGCGTAGGGTTTGGAATCAAATGTACTAAATCAGATGAGTCCCAAACATAGGTACTCGCTGTGGTGTTCCTGAGTAAAGGGTTTGCTGGTTCCATCCATAAGGACATGGTATTAAATGGTTTTTAAAAGACAAGTTTGGAAGTCAGGAATATTACTTATACTCTGGAACAGACTAATATCTGTCCTTGTATCAAAGGAATATAACACTCTCTCTCTCTCTCTCTCCCCTCCCTCTCTCTCCCCCCCCTCCCTCTCTCTCTCTCTCTCTCCTCCCTCCCTCTCCTTCCCCCCCCAAATCAAGTTTCTGCCTTCAAAGTTTTACTGAGGTGAATTTGCAAACGTCCATTCAAATGGATTTTTTTCTTTTCTTTTGTCAGCTTTCTTCTTTTGTCCTTTAGATATGTAAACTGCTTAGTCAATTGTGTTTAATCAGAAACTTGTAACACCATAAACAACTTTAGAGAACAATAATATTTTGAAAATAGAGTTCAAGTTCATTGGAAAAATGATTCTTTGTAAGTCCAAAGCAATTAAAACAAAGAAAAGGAAACAGGTTGTTCAACCTAAGCAGCATTAAAAGAAAAAAACAAAGCACATTTTAAATTGTAGTAGCATTCAGTTGGCACATTTTAAAACTTAATAATTGAAGAATCATTAAGAGTATGTAAATAATCAAAGATGATAAATCTCCACCAAATACAGGTGAGGATTGGAGAAATACAGTTTCTAGCCTTTCCTCAGCCAAGTTTTTGAACCAATCACTCTCTCATCCCAATCTATCCCCTGGGTGGGAATTGCAAGAATGAAATAAAACAATTACTGTATTAGCCACAATGAACCTTTGGGGGAATTCAAGCTATAAAAGAAATGTACACCTGTGTACACACAGACACACACACGCACGCACACACACACGAGTAATAGGTAATGAGTAAATTAATTCCGGGCTATGCATAGTTTCATCTAGAGTATTGATATTTATTTGAATTAGGAGTTGTCACTGAATCTTAACATCTTTTTGTGACGAGACTAAAGGCACTCTGCCATCAATCCTAACAGTAGAGTAGAGTTAGAGTAAGTAGAAAGAATAGAATGGAATGGAATGGATTGGAATAGGAATAGGAACAGAACAGAACAGAACAGAACAGAACAGAACAGACCTTGGAAATCTTCTAGTCCAACTCCTTGCTCAGGCAGGAAGCCCTATACCAATGATGGCTAACCTTTTCGGCACTGAGTGCCCAAAGCAATGTGTGCCTCTCCCCTGCACATGCGCGCACGTTCCCATGCATGCACACCCTCACACATGCACGTGCATCCCTGAGCATGCACGGCAGAGACCGGAAGACCAGCTGGCTGGCGGGAGTTACGTGCGCAGCGGAGCTGAGCTGGGGTGACAGCTCAAATGCCCAGAAGGAAGGCTCTGCATGCCATCATGGCCTTATACCATTTCAGACAAATGGTTGTCCAATCTCTTCTTTAAAACTTCCAGTGCTGGAGAATTCACAACTTATGGAGACAAGTTGCTTCACTGGTTAATTGTTCTGTTTACTTCAACTGAAACTTTGGATGGTTTTCATCGTCGAAGCATTATAATTAATGATAGCATACCTTTTCATCATTTGCATCTAGGTATAACGTGAGCTGTGGTAAGAAATTTGGATTATACTCATCAGACAAGAGCAGCCGTTGGAGCCGTAGTCCAGATAACCCAGGTCTTGGGCGGCGAGGGCGGCGTCCAAGTGGCTCTGATGGAGCTCCAAGGGAACACTTCCTTAGACAGGTCTGTAGAACATACTAATTGAACTCCATGGTGTCCTTTTACCAGAGTCGCAAAGGAAAATGGTTATACTGTGGTTTGTCTGTACTACATTTTCCAGCTACCAATTACTTATCCATCTGCAGAAGAAGACTTGGCCTCTCAGGAAGACAGCGTGCCAGTTGCCATGACCACTCGCCTGCGAAGGCAAAGCGAGAGAGAGAGGGAGCGGGAGCTTAGGGAACTGAGAATTCGGAAAACAGCCGACAACATGGATTTGTCGCCAGCCATGCAGTCGGTCCCATCAGGCTGGACCGTTGAAGATGTCTGGGCCTTCATCCACTCATTACCTGGTATGCAGCGGAAATCTGTGTCAATTTGCTAAGAGCGATAAGAGGACAGGCTCGCTGGGAGGGGAATACAGATAGTCCTCAACTTACGACAATCGCCTCCCCCCCCTTTCTTTAAATTTTATTGTATAAAATACAAAAAAGGAAAGGAAATAGGAAATTAAGGTAGGGAAAGCGAACGGGAAAAGGGGGTGTGAAATACAAGGGGGAAGAGAAAAAGAAAGAAAAGGGGGCATTGACTTCCAACTCTTCCTAGCAGAGTACAAGATAAAATACACTCCAACCTCAACTTTTTGCTTTTACATATGAATACCATGTTTCTCCAACCATATGCCCCCTCCAATAGGAAGGCCCAGCACTTCTTTGTACGCATGCAGTGAAATTAAGCCCTGTCCCCAAAATTTGGGCCTATTTAAGCGCATGCATTCCCCACCATTTCTCACATTGTTTGAATAACACAAGGTGTAGAGACATGGGGGGAAGGGCGTGGGGGAGGGGAAACTTGCCAAACTCATCCCACACGCAGCCACGTCTCGCCACTGGGCCGCTTCTATTGACCGTTAGGAGCGCCCGTGGGCAGCCTCGGCTAGAGTGCCCCGTGAGCAGCCACGCCTCGCCACCGGGCCACTGGGGGGGAAATTAAGTAACCCTTGGAAAGGATAGCCTAGCCGTTTTTTGGGGGGTCAAAAGAAAATAAGGCCCAGCCTTATTTTCTGAGAAACATGGTATATATATATCTAGCCATTTCTATAACACCAAATCTTTCTAATCAACAAAACCAAAATCATTTCAGCTTTTTTCTTCACCAGCCCAAATTCCAGAAGTGATACCCAACTAAGAATGTATTTTCTTCTTTGAGCCCAAAATTTTTGTTGCTACAGTGAAATGAATTTGTGAAGTGAATTTGGCCCCATTTTACGACTTTTCATGCCACCATTGTTCAGTTGAATCCCTGCAGTTGCTAAGTTAGTAACACGGTTGTTAAGTGAATCTGGCTTCCCCATTGACTCTGCTTGTCGCAAATGGTGATCACATGACCACAGGATACTGCAACCGTCATAAATACGAGTCAGTTGCCAAGCACCTGAATTTTGATCATGGGAATGCTGCAACAGTCATAAGTGTGAAAAAAAGCAGTCATAAGCCACTTTTTTCAGGGCCGTTGTAAGCTTTCAATGGTCACTAAATGAACTGTTGTAAGTTGAGGACTACCTGTATATGAGTTCCACACTTCATTGCAAAAACATGGGGAAAATGTCAGATGTACAGCTATTGCATGTGATATACCTAGAATTTACTTTCAGAATATTCTGAGAAGATTTGCTTGTGTGTGAAAACTCTTTTTCTGGTTCTTTTCTCAGATTCTACAAGAATAATTTGCATGTGTGACAGGTGACATAACAGGATGGCAGACTGTCTGTATCTTCTGCATTCTGTCATAACTCATCTGCCATACAGTAAGGCTATCAAAAATCCTGGAATGTATTCCCACAACCATTTTATTTTAAAAGAATGACTCCGTGCTCCAAGCTTTGACTAGAACAGAATATCAGTGTTGCAGGGTTGATTAAAATGCAGCAGAATGCATTTTACAACTGGTGCATCTTTTTCTGTATACATCATCACCATATATCTAAAGCAACACTTGGATGATTCTAGGAGAGCCTTCCCCAGCCCTGGCTTTCCTCAAATGTATTGGACATTCTAGGAATTGCAGTCCCAATAAATCTGGAGAGCCTCAAAATAGTAGTTCTACACTGATAGAAATAGAAGCATAACGATAGGAATAGCACTTAGACTTATATGCTGCTTCACAATGCTTTACAGCCCTTTCTAAGCAGTTTACAGAGTCAGCATATTGGCCCCAATAATCTGGATCCTCATTTTACCAACCTCAGAAGGATGGAAGGCTGAGTCAACCTTGAGCTGGTGAGACTCGAACTGCTGGTAGTTGGCCATCAGCGGAATTGGTCCGCAATACTGCATTTTAACCACTGCGCCACCACAACTCTTATATAGTTCATAAAAGGATGGGAAACCCTGAGAATCAAATGCAGTTTGTTCTATAAAATGCAAACATAAACTCAAAACGAAGTAAGTTCAGCACAATTACTAAATTCAGATTGGACTCTGATAAATACAATCCTTTTAATGTACCAAAAAGTTACTGAACCAAGCTGGAAAATCCCTAATTTCGAGGCAGCCATAACTTCCTTTCTTAGTAATATTTGTTATTTGTTGCAGGTTGTCAAGATATTGCTGATGAATTTCGAGCCCAAGAGATTGATGGGCAGGCTCTTCTCTTATTAAAGGAGGATCATCTCATGAGTGCAATGAATATTAAGTTAGGACCTGCACTAAAAATCTGTGCACGGATCAACTCTCTGAAGGAATTGTAGTGGAAAACCAAGGTCTAAACCACAGTTTTAAATTGACTTGTAAAGTAATAAGCCAACATCTCAGTGTTTGATGCAATTATTACCGCTTTGCTTTGCTAAGCATTTTTTTTCCACATAAAAACTGTTGGGAGGAACATTTTTAATATGAACTTTCAAACTTTCCAGCTATTCAGGAAGCGTAAGCTTTGCTGGTTTAAAAATTTAGTCAAAACCTGAGTGAGGTAGAATCAGTGGGAAGCTCTTAAGAAGTGTATGTAAAATGTTATGGGTGATGCTTATTCCAAAAAAAGGCAATTACAAGAATTAAGCTTCTTTTGAATATATAACCTTGATTACAGTTTTACATTGTGTTTCTATACACGTTTTTCCTTTATAGAAAGCTTTTACAAATATGGATTAACAGAAGAGTCCACAGAGTCTGTGGAAGCATTGACTATGGTAAAATGCTATGCATTTAATTGTGCTCATTGGATTTCAGTTAATCTTGAGCCTATGGTTTGAAGAGAACCTGTCGTTCACCTTCTCTTCTCTCTTAATGCTACAGCTCTCCCACCATGATACCATTTCCTTTAAGTAGTGTGGAAGCTTTTCTGTAAACATATGTCATATTTTGGGAATCCTGCAAACCTTCCACCGTTACCGTAGAAATGTTGATCTTACAGGTCACATGTGCCCTCCTTGCCAGTTTAAGCAGAACCCCCATCAATATTTAGATTAGTCAATGGGAAGGCATGAATGGGTGGAGCTTCAGAGTGAGTATGATGCATGCAGTAGTATAGCTGCAGGGCATGGTTTCTAGCATTAACAGAAGCACATACATTATCTCTTTGTATGATGCTATGTATTGAAGAGGGCATTATGTTACTGTCTTTTTGCCTTTGCTGCTGGTTAATGTAGACCAAAGGAGTTGACGCTTATCTGTCCAATCCCGAGAGTAGATCCATATGCTAGTCTAGTGTGTTCTGATAGAATAATTTTTAAAGAAGCAAAATAGCGACTATGCTTTGTTTACATCTGTCTTTTGTGTCTTCCTTCCTTCCTTCCTTCCTTCCTTCCTTCCTTCCTTCCTTCCTTGAATGCTGGTAGGGATGTCTTATGAGTTGACAGTTATTGGAAGAAGCACAGGTTGAAATTACATTGGTTTCAGCTCTTAACGTTTTCTCACAACCCAGTGTTATCTGCAGAAACTGTCCATCACAGTGACGGGGATCCTAAATCAGTGGCTCCAAAGTATTATTAGCAAGTGGTCAGATGTTTGCCTTCGGCATCTGCTTAATATTTTGCACTATAAACCAAAATATCTTGTTGCCATGATAGGGCTTGATCAGCCATGCACATCAATAATTTTTCTTGCGTGAGATAACACTTGAGAATGGTGACCTTTATGGTAGAAAAGAAATTCTTTGTAGCAGATTTCTTCCAATTCAAAACTCCCCAGGGAACTACAGTTCCTGTCAGCCTAGCTAGGATAGGGGAAGCCTCCATGTAATTGAATGTAAATCTTCCATAAGGTCTCATAAGGTCTGTATTCATTTCCGACATAGGTAGACTTTAGTATAATATAATTAATAGAGATTTGTTTCTTGGGAAGAACTTAAAGAAAGCTACTGTAGTTAATTCCTCAGTACTAGCAAAGATACCTGATTATGGTTATTCCACTGAAGGAATCTGTCAAAATAGATAAAGGGTGATTTTTCATTTATTTCCTTCCTGCCTATCGGTGGTCCTAAAATTGCAAAACTGGAAGATTCCCAAAATCAGTCTGGATGGGGAGCAAATAATCACTCTGCCCATGCGTGTTACACTGACTGATGGAAGGTCAGTCATTAGGACTTACATGGGTATCATCCTGTATATGATAAGTGATAAATAGTATTCAAGATATAAATCTCATAAAAAGTTTTTTTCTCTATTTGATTAGAGAATTATTAGATAACAATGCTTATTACCTCTGTTGATTGATTGACAGTTATTTAGAGCTAGCAAGAGCACTTAAGACTGATGTGTTTTACTGATTTCATATCTGGTATTTTGGAGTGCTTTCAGAAGGATTCCTAGCTGTTTTTGTATTGACAGATGAATATTGAAGGTTATTTGAAGCTCAAAGCAATCCATTTCTGTATAAATTAAATGTCAGGATTCTGGCAGTTACTGCTATTGTTGAAACCTGCCCATGGGAAAAAAAATCAAAGATAGTATTTCATTATTCTCCAATTGTCAACTTTTACTGTGATTACATTATTCATATAGAAAGACTTTTTTGTATCTATATAGCAAAAATCTGACAATTTGTTTTTAGCCAAGCAAAGATTATGAGCAACAATTGGAAATAAAGATAGCTTTGTGAAGGGAATTTATGCCAAAGCGGAATTACAAATTTGGCCCCATTTGTTGAACTTCCAAACAAAAATAGCCACTTCGGTCCCATTCACTTTAAAGAATTTAAGGGTGGGGTCATCTAAAGGACTAAATTAAAGAATCCATGCATGCTGATTTATAAATCACTTTTAGCAAACGATTTCAATTTTACACAGTTGAATATCGGGTTGATTTAGTTTTGTGAATGAGTTGCCTTTCAACTTTTATATTTTAAATATCTAAATGCTACAGCATTTTTTTCCATATTCTGTAGTTGTCGGCAGAGCACAATGTCATATTCATAGTAGTATAAGTATTATATATTTTAACACAAATGCACACTTGACTTTCATCAGCTGCACAATGTTATAACCTAACAGTAATTTTCTAAAGAGGATTATGGTATTATTCTTATGTAGTCAATACTAGTATTGTTCCTCTGAAGAACGCAAGATATGAAGAGAAGCACAAAGGATTCTATTCATGAGGGGGGAAAAACAGACTTTGTTCTAGTTTAATTCCCAAGAAAAGAGTTTGTCTGGGCTATGATTGCAAACAACTGCTGAAAGAACAATGAACCATTACTATTCAAGTGATTGGCATCTGGATAATTTGACAGACATGCTTTCTTCCTCTTGCATTAAGGAAGTGGTAAATGTTTTTATAAGATCAAACTGTCAGGCTACTGAGGATCCCGCGAGTAGCCCTCAACTTAAAACCATCAATGCCACTGACTTATGACCATTTTTCACAATTACGACTGTTGCAACATCCCCATGTTCATGTGATCATCAGATCCTTAGCAAGCGACATCAGTTTGTTACAGTTGTAATGTCCCGGGGTTATGCGATGGCCTTTTGCAACCTTCTGAAAAGCAAAATTAACGGGGAAGCCAGATTCACTTAATGGCCGTGTTGCTAACTTAACAACCATAGTGATTCACTTAAGAACTCTTGTCAAAAAAAGAGATCATAACGTATGCCAAATCTAGCAATTAACAATTGTCTTGTTGAGCAACACAAATTTTGTGCTCAGTTGTGGTCATAAGTCAAGGACTACCTGTATTTGTGTACACTCCTTCTTCCCCCCCCCCCCACCTTGTCATCCATGGGGGTTGTCTTGTAGCTCGAAAAAAAAAAAGAAGAAGAAAAAAACCAGCCCGGCTTTCCTCTGGATGCAGAATTTAAGTCTTGAGTTAGTAAAAGGGCAGAATCTGCTGTCCTCTGTCTAGGCCAGAGGTCTCCAACCTTGGCAACTTTAAGACTTGTGGACTTGAAGTCCACAAGTCTTAAAGTTGCCAAGGCTGGAGACCTCTGGTCTAGGCAGCCTCCTGCTTGGGAGGGAGTTGTCTTGAAGAAAGCTTTTGTGATTACCTGCAATTAGGATGGTTTCGTGTTTGCTTTTAGCATTTTTCATTAACATTTCCTTTGGGTGTTGAAGTTGGAGGCGGCTTAGAAAAAATTGTGTTGAACTTCCCATGACTTGTCTGAACACAGTCAAACAGAGAGAGAGCACTTATTTGGAAGGTTATTAATTATTTTTAGGTGTTTTGTCAAAAAAAAAAAAAAAAGCAAGGGGTTCATTGCACAAGGGAATATTTTAGAAGATTTTTGTCTGCCTGAGGGATTTCCCTCCCCCCCCCCTCTTTCTAGCAGTGTCCTATTTCTTAAGTTCATTTGATGAAACATCAGCAGAGTCTCCACATAAAAAGTGTACCAAGTGATAATTAGTATTTTTTTTTCTTTTCTTTTTTTTTTGCAAATTGGAGCTGTTGCTGTAGGTGTCTGCAGAATAACTCTTGGGATATAACGGTTATTTGTATTGGAGTTGCCTCATCAGAGCTGTTGCATCCCATGACAAAAATGTCTGAATGTATACAAGACACTGAATTTTGTTGCTAGTTTTTTCTAATTCTACCCTAGTTCCTAGGATTCCCTGAAAAGTTGTTTGTAATAGTTCGGGGACCATTTAGTAAAGAATAGTAGTATTATTTACTACTTGTAGTAGTATGGCAAGGGTGGGGGGGTGGGAGAAGATTGAGAAGATGAGTTTCCCTGTCTGGCAAAGCACCTGTCCACTAAAGCTGCCCATAGATGCATTTCATAGAACAGGTAGCACAGGTAGAAAACTTCCCGGCTTTGGAGAAAAAGTCACCTGCAGCTTCTTTTCAGGCTGCGGTTTTTCATGGAAAGGAATATATCGTAGCCAGTCCTCAACTTACAACCGGTTACTTAGCAGTGGTCAAAATTACAACGGATCTCCCTGGGGGTACTTAATAACCTGGAGTCGAAGTTTCGATGGTCAGGCCGTCCCCCTCTGTATCACATGGCCATGAATGCTTTTTGGGTGCTTGGCAGATGGGCCACTTTTACGGCTGTTTGCAGCATCCGCCCTGTCAGATCACTGCCTTTGACAGCAGTTTTGCTGAAAACTGGCATTTCCAGCTTATGGCAAAACCAGCCTATAGAGAACCAGTGGTTTGCTTAAGGATTGTGGCTTAACAGCCATGGCAGCCATTGAACTGCAGCAGCCTGGAGGGGGAGGGTAGAAAGGTCCAAAAAGTTGGGTCAGTCGTGTGGGTGACCCGATTTTCAACCATCATGTATTATGGCGACTTTGACAGGCAGGCACCATTATGGCTGTCACTTGAGGACTACCTAGGCAGTATGTATTTTGAATGGGATATAGCTTTTCCAAAGGTGGCCGATAAAGCAGCGGTCCCCAACCTTTGTGGCTTGGCGGTCCGGCTGGGGGGGAGGGAACTGAGCCGCATGAGTGGTAGGGCAGTTTACTCAACTTGCACAAACAGCAGGTGAGCAAGCGCGCATGGGAGTGCCCATCGGCCCTCCGCTTGTGCAAGTTGAGTTGCACACGCGCATGCCGGCATGCCACTCATGCAGACCAATTCCCTTTCACAGCCCGTTAATGGACCACGGGCCAGGAATTGGGGACCCCTGCGATAAAGTAAGTTCTGATTCCAATTGCTTCACTTTTTTTTCAACAGGATTGTGAAAACCAGTTTTTTTAAGTGTACTTTCTTTGTAGAATGAAAATCCCTGTCTCTCTCTCTCTCTCTCTTTGTGTATGTGTCCTTGTGTGTGTATTTACACATGTGTGTGTGTGTGTGTGTTACACACACACACATATATGTATGGTATTCAGCTTTGTTCGGGTATTTTCCCATGTCATTATAGATGTGCTTTTAAAGTTGTAGCAACGTTTCGGCAGAATCTCATCTGCCATCATCAGGCTTCTGTAGATGAGAATGGCAGATGAGATTCTGCCGAAACGTTGCTACAACTTTAAAAGCACAACTACAATGACGTGGGAAAATACCCAAACAAAGCTGAATACCATACATGTAAGTACCCGCGAAAACTTAAGAAAACATATATATATATGTATGTATGTATATATATAAAACAGATCCTTTAGTATCTTCTTTGCAAATAAGCCTGATAAGAGTTAACTGCACAAAAATGCAAACCTTATACAACAGAAGGTAGTAAGACCTCGATTTAATGGACTCTGCCTATTACAGGTAGCCCTCAGATTTACAACAGTTCATTTAGTGACATTTCAAAGTTACAACAGCATTGAAAGAAGTGACTGACGACCATTTTCACACTGAGCGACCGTTGAAGGTTTCCCCATGGTCATGTGATCAAATTCAGATACTTGGCACAACTGGATCATATTTATGATGTCCCATCATTTATGATGTGATCACTTTTTGTGACCTCCTTACAAGCAAAGTCAATTTACTTAACAACCTTGCCACTAACTTAACTGCGGTGATTCACTTAACAACCGTGGCAAGGTAGGTCATAAACTGGTGGAGAAACTCACTTAACGAATGTCTTGCTTATCAACACAAATTTTGGGTTCAGTTGTGATTGTAAGTCGAGGACTATCTGTATTTGGGAAGTGGCACATATCCATTCATGATCTTGCCTGCTGCTACGCATGAAGTCCATTAAATAGAAGTCTTATTACAGAGACTTGACTGTATGTTCTTCCTAGAATATTTGTATGATAGTTTTCTTTTTGTAAAATTTCACAGCATTTCACAAGTTTCTTATTCTAAAATATTTAAGTACAGTATTTTTGTTTTCCTTACTGAATGTGATACTATTTTGTGTCAATCATGACAAGCTTGATAATGGTTGCGACCATGGAAAGAAACTAGATAGAGGATAGGAGGAGGCACTTTCTTGTTATGGCCATGGAGGGTATAACAAGTAAAATAATACATGACTAATTACTTGCAATAATGACAGGCCTTAAAAAGGTTTCATGTAAGACAGTTGTTTCTAAGCCTTGTCAGCTTGACGGTGTGTGGACTTCAACTCCCAGAATTCCTCAGCCAGCATGCTGTGTGGAGAATTCTGGGAATTGAAGTCCAGACATTTTCAATTGCCAGCATTGACCAACATGGATGTAAGAGTTCCATAAATTGTCCCCTACCTTTTAATACAATCTACTTCTGTGGTTTCAGCTAGTGACATAAGCTGTTTGAGAAATGGTAGTAAAAGCACTTAATTTGAGGAGGCAGAGAGGAGCCTGTGAACTTCTTCTCATCCCTTACAAAACAATGATTTATTGAGTCAGGTTCATTATATCCTTATTTTGTTATCGAGGCCTAAGCTATTTTCCAGCTTAATAAACGACTCAAGTGAACCTCTTAACTGGGCATCAGTATCTGGAATCTGGATGATTAAAGAAAGAAAGAAAAAAAATCAGTTATTATTTATATTAAGAGAAGTTTGATCTACATAACATTTGATAAATTTCATGCTTTTGGAGTACCTTTGTAATATATTTTTTTTCATAAGGATTCATTTGATAAATATTTAAACCACTTTGAAGATTGTCAGATTTATGAAGTTTATTAAGAACTGGGTCCTGCAAAAGAGGACAAGTTTAACTGACCTGTAACCTTAACTGTTTTTAAAAGTTTATTGTCTCTGATTTTGTAAAATTAGTATTTTATATTCCCTTTTCTCTGTTCGTGAAACAAGAATATAGGGACCAACAAAATAGACAAAGTTAGTTTGTTGCAACGAAAGATATTTATATTCCCCCCTTGTACTGCACTGGTTTTTGAAAAGCTATTTAAGTATGTCAAGTTTGACTTTATTTGCTTCAAAGCTATTCTTGCCAATATGTTCTCACCATCTTTTTTGTTTGTTTGTTTTGGGGATCACTCTTCCCTTTTCAGTACTGTGTTTACCTGAAAGGAAGATTTGCCTGATTTTAATTTTCCTCCTAAAAACAGAGTAGGTAATTGTGCTGCCCCCCCCCCCACACACACACATAACTGTGGTTTAGTGGGTTTATTAATATTCTCCTGAAACCCCCTTCACCAAAAACCCAGAACTGTCCCAATTAAGTCCAGCCACAAGCAGACCTATGCTAGTCCACAGAGCAATGGCCAATGAGGCCACAAGGCACTTGAAAATTTCCCAATCAAAATAAACCCACCAGACA